TTGTCCTCCAGGCCAGCCTTTCACAGCCCTCACGCTCATGCAGTGCCCCTGTGTGCCCTCTGCTCCCTTTGGTGGTTGGTCAGTAACACCTGAACACCCGATGGCTCACTGCCTTGAGCAGCGATCACCTTCTCTGCACAGCTGCACCCACTGGGGATGAGGCTCGGCCCCACTCCCAATCCCCACACACTGTGTGCCTACAGGAATGATCCTGGGCAGGAAACCCCTGGCTTCACAGACACTGCTACAAACACACACCACGACTGTTCTCACACGTTGTCCCAAATCCCAGCGCGGAGAAGCCACAGTCACAATTTAAAGGGAGACAGATCCATGCCAAGCACTCACCCGTGATTCCTTGGGCTTTGTTTTGCTCCCCCACCCCCAGGTTCTGCTCACCTTGTAGGACCACATCCGGAGCTTATGGTCCTGGCAGAGGGCGAACAGGAAGGCATCGTGATCCAGGCAGTGCACGGAGAGGCTGACGGGCACATCCGAGGGGCCGCCATCACCTCTGGAAAACCAGGGCTTACATCAACACCTCCAAAGAAAATTCTCCATCCCTGGAAGTGTCCAAAACCAGCCTGGACACTGGTCTATTGGAAGGTGTTCCTGGCCTAGGCAGGGGGTGGGACTGGATGAGCTTTAAGGCCCCTTCCAACTCAAACCATTCCAGGACTTCATTGTTCTAAAATCATGGCAGGTGCACAGATCCAAGGCAGTGGGGTTCCTCCACTGTGCTTAAATCCAAATAAACCAGTAGGTGAGATCAGGAGAAGGGAATGTTTCAGCATTCACAGAGCAGAGGATCCCACCACACCAGTGACACCCAGTTCTTCGCTTGTTTTGGTGGAACTGAAGCACATTCCCACTTCCCCATCCCCAGCCTGGTACCAGCAAAACACAGGTGAAGGATCCAGAGGGAAAAAAGGATCCAAGCAGCCCCCAGCATGGATTCTCCCAGCCTCTGACAAGGATCCAAGAAGCCATGAGCAAGGATCCTGATAGCCCCAAATGATGCCTTAAGTTTTAGCTTTCATACTGATGCAGTATGGAATTTTCCAGATTCCATACTGCATCAGGATATAACTCTGAACTTCCTATGAAGCGTTAGCAAGCTCTCTTCCCAGTTTAGTCAGACCAAACAATCCTTTTCCAGCCTGAGAACCAAGGACACCACTGCAGCTTCAGCCCCAAAAAGTATAAACAGCAGAAAACTGAGGGGAGCAATCTGGCAGGATGGATCCTGCCAGATCCCAGGCAACATCCCCCAATGCTCAAAGTCACTCAGGGAATCAAGGGACTCACTCCCACTTCCAAGAAAAAGGCCCTGGGATTCAGCTGTGCCCTCTAAGCCACCCTACCAATCCCAACCCAGCATCCATGTGGATCCCCACGTAACCTCTGCTCGTCAGGAACGCGCCTGGCTCCTCAGCACCAGGGCACAGTAATCCCTAATCCATGCTGGCTGTGAGCCACATCCTGGGCAAATCCTTGGAGGCCAATTACTAGAGAACACATTCACAGACACATGGAACAGCAGCACCCTGCTAATCCAGCATTCCACTCCCAGCTTCCGTATTCTGATAGCTCCTGTGACCCCGTTAACTTTTTTGGGTGGAGTATTTATAGGTGCCTGTGTGACTCAAGATAAAAATTCCAGGTGAGGGGATCCAAAAGCCAAAATTAGCTGTTTATTCGTCTCCAGGCACTCACCTGATGGCAGTTGGCATCCAGCCCGTGAGGAAACGCTGCACCACCGAGCTCTGCTTCAACTCCACGACAGAAACACTTCCTTCAAAAACAACCAGAAAATTAAAAATGAAGATCAAGCAAAATTCCAAGACGGGAAAGGGGCTGTAGTGCCCAATCCTTACCAGGAGAATCGGGAGGAGGCAGCTTAAGGACAAAGATCCCTCCTGAGGCAGAGGGAAGGGCAAAGAGAGCCTCCCCCTCGCTGCTCAGCCAGGCTGCAGAGGCCACGGAGTTGGGAGCCAGCCCCGGCACGCTGGGAATCACGTAGTAATTGGAGGGATCCCTGATGTGGATTTTGCTGATATCTGTAAACACGGACTGCACTTGGCTCTCCGTTATCAGCTCCTGTGGGAAAACAGGAGAAAACAGCCTCAAGTCGTGCCAGAGGAGGTTTAGGCTGGATATGAGGGACAATTCCTTCGTGGAAGGGGTTATCAGGCACTGGAACAGGTTCCAGTGGTGGAATTCCCATCCTGTGTGGATGTGGTGCTTGGGGACAAGGGTGGCCTTGGAAGTGCTGGACTCCATGATCCTACAGGATTTCATAAAACATCAAATACTGAGCACACGTCTCTAAGGCACAGAGGAAAAAAAAAACAGACATCAATGGAATGGCAACTGTCTCCTTGATAAAAAGGATTTTTCCAGTAAAAAAAATCTCTGGCACAGCTCAGAGAAAACTGCTGGTGACACATCCCAAGAAGAGCAGCTCTGCCACAGCACAGGATCATCCTTTGGGAAAGCTCTTTGGAGCTCTAAAGAGAGAAGGAGAGAAGCTCTCCAAGAGAGGAGAGGAAGAAGCAGGCACAAAATGGGGAGAATCACAGAATCCTACAATGGTTTCAGTCAGAAGAGACCTTAAAAACCATCCAGTTCCAACCCACATCCATGGAAAGATGCTAAATGTGATATAAACCCTGCCTAGGATCCATCTGCCACGTGAAATCTAGATTCCCAGACAAAACCAGCCTGCAGCCTTCTCAAGTGAGGGAAAAAAAGACAATCCAGCCAGAAAGGGCTCTGGAAAAGCCGAGGCTCATTCCCAACTACAGCTCAACTCCAGTGCCATGACACAGGCTGGACACCCAGCCAGTTCCTGAACAAAACACGGCTAAACTCCCCAAACCTTCACTTCTCCTCTTGTTCCCGACGTGTTTTGTGCCACCCAAGCCGCCCCTGTGCTGACGGGCTGGGCTGCCCGGCCCCCGGCGGCATTCCCGGCACTCACGCTGCGGTAGAGGCGGGCGGGGTGCGGGAGCAGCAGGCGGTGCACGGTCTGCGCCGTGAGCAGCAGCACCACCAGGTGACTCTGCACCTCGCACAGGTGGATGCCGCCCGGCAGGAAGGGGCAGCCCTGGATCCGCAGCCGCACAGCGTTGTTCAGCAGGTTCACGTCCAGGGATTCCTCCACCAGCTCCACCGTGTCCCCCGACGTGCTCCTGCGGGAACAGAGGGGCACGCCTGAGGATGAGGAGGGTGTGAGAGGGGAGAGATGAGGAGGATCTCAGGGACAGGAGGGTCTCAGAAGGGTGAGAAGGGAGAGCTGTGGATGAGGAGGGTCTAAGCGAGGCAAGGCGGAACGGGGGCGTGCACTCACCATCGCACCCAGCGATTCCTGGTGGCGGCCCCGAGCTGCGCGCTCTCTTGGTAGCAGAAGCCGCCGGCGCTGTCGCTGTAGCGCCCGGCGGGGAGCGGGGCGACGCCGGGGGGCACGAAGATCAGCTCCTGAGGGGATCGCGGCGGGGCCCGGCCGGCCGCGCTCAGCTCCAGGCAGCTCCGCGCCGCCAGAGCCGCCGCCATCTTGGGCCGCTGCCTTCCCGCCTCGGCCGCGCGGGGCACGACGGGAAGGGGAAGGAGCGGGCGCTCCCTGGCGGGCGGGAGGACGGGGGCAAGAGGGGACGGGGCGCTCCCTGGCGGGCGGGAGGACAGGGGGCAAGAGGGAGAAGGCTGGGGCGGGAGGGTGAGAGGGAAAGAAAGGGCTGGGGGAGGGAGGGTGGGCAGGGGTCTGGGGAGAGGGATCTGGCATGGAGATGTGGGAAGGGGAATATGGGGAGGGGAGAATGAGGAGAAGGTGTGCGGAGGGGTTACAGGGAGAGGGGATATGGGAAGAAGGTAAAGGGGGATTTGGGGAAGGGTTTGAGGAGGATCTATGAAATTTGGGGCAGGACACTGGGGAACAGGATAGGAGGTCTGGTTTAGTGGGGGCATGTGTTCTCAGCAGAACCCACCCTGGCAGCTCCCAACACCCACCTGTGCCCATACCTCATCCCAGCAAAGCAGCCACAGCCGCCTTCCCAGACATGCCCAGCACACTGGCAGAGCACACATTCCCATACCGGTGAGGGCAGTGGGGACACCACCATCCCACGGATGCCACACGTCCCCCCACAACACCAGCCAGTGCCAGTGCCAGTGCTGGGCCTGGCCAGGCTCCCGCTGCGCTCGGAACAATCCGGCCTTTGAGCGGATCCAGTGCCGGCGCTCCAGGCTGTAGAATGGGCCCATTCTGGTGGCAGGTGCCATGAGGGGCCGGGGGCTCCAGCTGGCCCCCGGCTTTACTGGGGGGGTGAAGCCCCCCGTGGAGCTGGCACACAGTTGGATTTGGGGACTCAAGTGTCACAGCAGTGCCAGGCCGTGCACCAGTCATGGATGGGCTGAGGTGGGATGGAGGGGCACTGGGACCAGGCCCCACCCGCGGCACCCATCCCGCCCTGACACCCTGCATCCAGCCCGTGCCTGGTGGCAATGGGTGTCTGTGTCCCTGACTGTGTCCCCTCGGGCAGGAATGGGGGGTGTCCGTGGCTGGGACCCCTTTGGGTGCCCGTGTCCCCTGGGAAGGGACCCCACGGGTGACCCGATGGCTGCGGGCTCCCATCCACCATGCTCGGTGCAGCTCGGGTAGGATCGGGATTGTCCCGGGACCGTCTCGGGACCGTGCCTGGACAGTACCGGGACCACGCCAGAAGCACGCCCAGTTCTGTACCGGGACCGTGCTGGGACAGTACCTGAACCATCTCTGGACCGTGCCTGGACAGTTCCTGGACCACACCTGGACTGTGCCGGGACCGTGTCAGGACTGTACCAAGACTGTGCAGGAACCATGCCTGGACCGGACCGGGACCGGGACAGTACCGGACGGTGCCGTGGTCACGCCCGGGTTCGCTGCGCTACTGTCCCGCTCCCATTCCCGGGAGTCCCCGTTCCCGTTGCCGGGGCCGGGCGGGGCGGCCGCTGTCCCCGCCCCGGGGCGCTCCCGCCGCTTCCTGCGGGCACGGCCGGGACGGGGCGGGCCGGGACGGGTCGGGGCGGCGGCGGTAGCGGAGCGCGGTGAGTCCGGTCCCGGCGGGAACGGGGCACGGCCGTGGGGTCAGCGGGAGGGGAGCCGGGGGTCCCCGCCCGGCGAGGGCGGTCCCGAGGGTCCCCGGCAGCGGGGGTCTCCCGGTGGGGCAGGATCCGGGGGTCCCGGTGCTTCAGGAGCCGTTGCATCCCGGTGAAGCGGGAGCCGAGGGGCCCGGTGGAAAGGGAGTCCTTGCATCCCAGCGGAGTGGGATTCCTGGGTTCCGGTGGGGCGGGAGCCGTTGCATTCCCGCGCGGCAGGATCTGTGGGTCCCGGTGGAGCAGGATCCGTGGGTCCTGGTGGGGCAGGAGCCGTTGCATCCCGGTGGAGCAGGATCCACGGGCCCTGGTTAGGCAGGATTCGTGAGTCCAGGGATGCCCGGAGTGAGGCAGGAGGTGGGGGCCCCCACGGAGCGGGAGTTGGGGATACTGGGGTCCCCGAGGGGCAGGGGACAGCAGGACCTTGGGGTGCCGGCAGACCCCCGGGACAGGCGCCCAGAGAAACTGGGGATGTCCTCAAGCCGAGCCGGGGGTGCAGGACACGCTGTGGCATGTGGGGTGACCCCGGACAGGGGTCCCGGTGGGAGGTGGGGGTGTCCTGCGCCCCTCCTTCGGGATTAGGCGGCGCGACGCCATGGGCGCCGGGCACTAAGAGGCTTTGTCAGCCCCGCGGGTCGGTGCCGCCTTGTCCCGGGAATGCCGTGACACGGGGACCCCCGTGGTGCCGAGCCCCCCGAGTCCCCGCGGGCGGGAGCGCCGGCGCCCAGCCCGTGCCCGCCGGGCAGCGGCGGTGCCAGCCGGGGCCGGGAGCGACGGCCGCGGCAGCTGCGCCGGAGCCGGCGGCGACCTCCCCGCTCCCAAGGCCGCTGGGATTCTGGAAAATGCCTGGAAATGGTGAACCGCCTGCCCTTATATGGCTCCGGCGGGCTGGCGCGCCGCGGCCCCTCTCCCGGCGTGCCGTGCCGTGCCGTGCCGGGATCCTGGGAAAACGCCGTGGGCTGTGCCTCGCGCCCCAGCTCCCGCGCTGGAATGTGCAACGGGGCCGGCGATCCCACGGTGGGGAGATAATCCCACCTCCCTCCCGCCGGCCCGGCACCACGAACCCGGCGCCTGCCTCAGTTTCCCCCACCGGGGAGTTTTGGGGACCCACCAGAGCCCCCTGTTCGGCATTCCAGGGGGATCGCCCGTCCTCTCTCTGGCGGGGTTGGGGACGGTCGGGGGCGTGAAGGTCACAGCTAATCCCACCCGGAGCAGGCGGGAGCGGGAGGGCTCCGGGCGGCCGCGTGCCCACCGAGGTGACACTGGGGGGGTAAGAGGATCAACCCCCCCGATCGATCACCGGGCGGGATGACGGCGGCCCGGGGGCCCAGGAGAGTGGCCGCGGTCCCGGTGACGTGAGACCGGCGCCGTAATCCCGGTGTTGTGAGCGGATTAGGATGGCCGGGGGTGGCCTTCGGGGACGAGCTGCGGGAGCCATAAATCCTCGCCCGGGTGTTAGGTGGGGGAGCCCCTGTGGGGTCCCCCCGTGCCACCTGGGGGTCTTCTCTTGTCCCCCCGGCAGGGTGGGATAGGGGTTAAACACTACCCGGAAGGATGCCCGGGGTCTACTGGCTCTGGTGTCACCGGCTGGGTGCCACCCCCGGGCTCGAGGTGACCCTGGGACCGGCTGCCCGATGCCTGTAGGGGTGGGGAATTTGGGGGCTGGGGGAGCTGCTCCCGCAGTCACCCGGATCCGGGGTACCCGGGAGGTGCCCCCTGGCACGGCTGGATGTGCCAGCACCCGGGCTTCCGGGCTGTGGCACCACTGGGGACACGGGCCCGAACCCCACTCAGGAGGCACCGCGGTGGCGTTTTGGGGGGCTCCTGGCGTGCCCGGGGAAGCCCCGGGGAGGGCGGTGGCTGGATGGCGGCCACGCGGCACGGTGGGTGTGGGGAAGCGGCGGCGGGAACCGGCCTGACCGGTTCGGTGCCGGCACCGGGGGTGCCGGGGGGCTCGGGCGGCCACGCCGCCGGCGCAGCACGTGGCCCTGCTCAAGGTCACTGTCCCCAGGGCCACCCGCTGCGGTGACCGGGCTCAATTGGCCTCGACACTCCCACACGCTTTGCCACTGGCCGCTGTTTTCTGGCTGTCCCAGCCGTGTTTGTGGCACTGAGCGGTTTCGGTGGCACGGGAGGATCCCGGTGGCACCGGCGGTCCGGAAGGGCGAGCCGGCGCTGAGCTCACCTGGAAGGTGTCCCGCGGGCGCGGCGGTGACGCACGGCCCCGGTGGGTGGGAGCAGAGGCGCTCGTCCCACCCGGCCCCAGCGCGGTCCCTGGGTGTGGGATGAGGAACGGCTGGACTCAAATCTCAGCATTGGTGGGCTGTGCGGAGGTCCTCCGTTGTGCTGTACCCAGGGATTTTTGGGATTGGGGGATGCTAGCACCCCTTGGAATAGAGGGTTTGGTCGTCAGGACTCTTCGTCAGGGTGAACTCCCTTGATGCCACATGCCACCCATATTTGGGGGCTCTCCGCACCCCCTAACCCACCATTCTCCCCCCAGAGCCACCCTGAGCCGGGGATGCCGGGATGCCGGTGCCCGCGTGCCCGCAGCGCCCTGCCCTGAGCCCGGAGCCCAGCTGTGCCATGGAGGATCCGCCCGGCACCAGGACCGAGGCGTGGGCCGAGGGGCTCCATAACGCCAACAACAACGCGTCCCCGGGGGGGTGGCCGGCTGCCCGCGGTGGGCACCCCCTGGCAGCTTTCGGGGGTCCCGGGGCCAAGCCCAGCTACCTGGACCGCGTGGTGCAGGAGATCGTGGAGTCAGAGCGCACCTACGCCCGTGACCTGCGCAGCATCGTGGAGGTGGGTGCCAGGGGGCACAGGGGGGCACACCCCTTAGACACAGTTTGGGGTCTAGGGGTGCAATGGTGCCACCGTGGGTGCCTGGCAGGGTTACCTGGGCAAGATCATCGACGCGGAGGAGCCGGTGCTGCGACCGGAGCAGGTCAGCGCGCTCTTCGGGAACATCGAGGACATCTATGAGCTCAGCAGGTGGGGGAGCAGGTGCCACTGGGAGGTGACAGGGTTGTGACCCTGTCCAGTGGGTGTGTGGGGGCTGTGGTCACCCTGCCCTCTCTGTGCCCCCCAGCACCCTCCTGCAAAACCTGGAGAGCTGTGCCAATGACCCCGTGGCTGTGGCCGTGTGCTTCGTCACCCGGGTAAGGGCGAGCAAAGTGGGGGGCACAGGGAGCCTTGTGGGGACACCGGGGGGGACACGTGGTCATACCAGGCTCTCACTGTGTTCCCCTTACCTGCAGAGCCAGGAATTTGCCATCTACACCCAGTACTGCAACAACTACCCCAGGTGGGTTGGGGGCACACCTGGGTGAGCAGGGAGGCGGGCAGGGGGCACACGGGTGGGCAGGGGTCTGAGCCCCCTCCCTGCCCGCAGCTCGGTGGCGGCACTGACCGAGTGCATGAGGAGCAAGGTCCAGGCACGGTTCCTGCGGGAATGCCAGGAGCGCCTGCGCCACGCGCTGCCCCTTGGGGCCTACCTGCTCAAGCCTGTCCAGAGGATCCTCAAGTACCACCTGCTGCTCCAGGTGAGCGCCTGGTGCCCGGCACGGCACGGGGTGGCACAGGGACACGGCTTGGTTGCCTGGAGCAGTCCAGGCACCTGGCACGGCACATTCCCATGTCCTGTGCTGTGCCCAGGAGATCGCCAGGCACTTTGAGCACAAGGCGGGGGACGACTACGAGCTGGTGCTGGAGGCCATCGACACCATGACCTGCGTGGCCTGGTACATCAATGACATGAAGCGCAAGCACGAGCACGCCATCCGCCAGCAGGTGGGCACCGGGGGGACACCAGGGAGACACCACAGGGGCAGTGGGTGGCACCAGGTGACATAAGATGGGCCGTGTGGCAGGGGTGCTGATGCCCCTGTGTCTGTGCAGGAGATCCAGTCACTGCTGCTGGGCTGGAAGGGGCCAGACCTGACGAGCTACGGGGAACTGGTGCTGGAGGGCACATTTCGGACACAGCGGGTGCGCCACGACCGTGCACTCTTCCTCTTCGACAAGGCCCTGCTGATCACCAAGCGCCGTGGTGACCACTATGTCTACAAGAGCCACATCCCGGTGCGGGATAAGGACAGGAGACTGTGAGGGTGACAGGGGTGGGGAGCCCACTGGGTGCCAGGAACTCCTGTGGATCCCCGGGATGGCGGGACAGGGTGGGTGCCAGGAACCCCAGTGAGTGCTGGGGTTGGGGGAACTGGGGAATGCTGGGAATGGGGGAGCCCAGTGAGTGCCAGGGACCCCAGTGGATGCTGGGGTGGGAAGTTCCAGGGATGCTGACGCCTCTCCTGACAGTGCTCCTCACTGATGCTGATTGAGAGCACGCGGGACTCGCTGTGCTTCAGCCTGGCACACTACAAGCATGGCAAGCAGCAGCACAGCCTGCAGGTAGGGGGGCATGGGGTGGGGGGCACCCTGGGGACACCCCGGAACCCCCTGCTTGACCCCACCACCCTCCCTGTGCCCTCAGGCCAAGAGCGTGGAGGAGAAGCGCGTGTGGACTCACCACATCAAGCGGCTCATCCTGGAGAACCACCACGCCACCATCCCCCAAAAGGTGAGGTTGGTGGGGTGGGCACCTCAGTGACACCAGGGACCCCCCAGCACAGCAAGGGGGGGCAGCTGTACCGCACCTTTGCCCCATTTCTCTCCATCCTCCCTCCACCCAGGCTAAGGAAGCCATCCTGGAGATGGACCTGTTCTGTAAGTGCCACCAGTGCCCTATCATTCCCTGTCTGCCCTACTCGATCCCCCCCGTTTTCCCCGGTGTCACTCCCTGTCCCCACAGACCCCCCACGCCTGCCCCGCTGCAGCCCTGAGCGCCTGAAGAAGAGCTGGTCCTGCCAGCCCCTGGGTGACGCTGCCACCGAGCCACTCCAGGGACGCCGGCAGTCTGGTGAGAGCCGCGTGTCACCAGTGTCACGTGTGTTCCCACCATGCTACCCCTCCGTCACCCCTTCACCAGGGCCCAGCTGTGGCTGGGTGACACCAAAGCCCGTAGGGAGGGTGGCACCGGGTGCTGATGGTGCCTCATCCCTGTTCCCGCAGAGCCCTTCCAGCACCAGGGGCACACGGAGACGCTGCTGGAGCGGCTGCAGGGACACGGGGGGCGTAGGCAGTCGGGTGTGGACAGCGGACGGGATCAGGGGGCTCGGGGTGCTGATGAGTTGGGGGACACGGGGGTGATGCCACTGTCACCTCCCCTTCCCCCAGAGCCCGCCAAGCACAACCTGTGGCACCTGGGCGAGCAAGGTGAGCTGGCAGGACCGTGGCACTGGTGTGGCAGGCAGAGGGGTGGCTGGGGGCCATGGGGGGAATTTTGGGGGATTTTGGCTCCACTAATCTCTGCTTTTCTCTATCCTGGCTGGCAGGGCTGAAGGTAAGGCCGGGTGTGGTGGGTTGGGGCGCCCAGTCCCTCCAGCCCTGGCACGGGGTGCTGAGCCCGGCGCTCACCCCCACACAGAACACGGGCAGCGACGGGGCGCTCCTGGAAGTGGGGGAGCCACACCAGCACCCCAGAGCCTGGGCAACGGTTGAGGGCGTGGTGGCGGAGGAAGAGGAGGAGGAGGAAGAGGAGGCTTTGGGCAAGGACTGCCAGGAGGAGCTGCCAGGGTCCAGGGATCTGCTGTTGGAGCTCCAGGAGGAGCAGGTACCTACACCAGCCCTTCAAACCCCAGGAGAGCATGCAGAGCACCCCAAATCACTTCTGGGGCACTCTCTCATCACTCCTGGGGTAGCCTGCCTCACTACCAGGACATCCCACACCACTCCAGGGCACCCCATGTTGCTCTCAGTGCCCCCACCCAGGGCCCCATGGCTTGGCTGGGATTTAACCTGCTGGGAGAACCTGGCTGCCCCCCAGCTCATGACTCCCCACATTTGTCTTGCCCAGGCTGGGGAACACCCATGGGTGCTGGAGGGACCCAAGCGGCCGAGCAGCTGGGGGCCAGGGAGCTGTGAGAAGGTCAGTGTGACCCCCCGGCCCCCACCCGGGAGTGCCCAGGGACCCAGCACCCACAGCCCTAACAGCAGTGCTGGGGAGCACCCCAGGGTCCCCAGATCCCCATCCCTGGTGGGGACCCTGGCGCTGCCCAGTGGGGACAGGGAACCGGAGCACGCTGCGGAGGATTTGCAGGTGCTGAGCAGTGAGGAAGAGGAGGAGGAGGAGGGGGAAGGAGCCGCCAGCATCCTGCCACCCTCAGTGCTGGACCAGGCCAGTGTCATCGCCGAGCGGTTTGGCGGCGGAGGCAGCTTGTCCCGAAGGAGCAGCCTGGCGCTGGAGGGGACCCTGGGACGCACCCCCAGCCACGGTGGCAGCACCCTCAGCCTGGATGGGGGCCCCCCACTCGAATCCATGGAGCCCGAGGAGTCCCGCAGTGCCATCCCCTCGCCCGAGCCTCTCATCAGAGCCCGCCGGGAATCGCTGCTCTCCAACCGGGACCGCCTGCTCCTCGACAAGATCAAGAGCTACTATGGCCACGCCGAGCACCGCGATGCCGGCTTCGGGGTGCGCCGCCGCGAGAGCCTCTCCTTCATCCCCAAGGGGCTGGTGCGGAGCTCCGTGTGCCGCCTCAATGGGCTCCCTCGGCCCCCCGAGAGCCCTGAGCCCCCCACCCAGCCCGAGGCACCAGAGCCGTGCCAGGAGAACGGGGCGCAGCCCCCCGAGCCGCTGCTCATCGTGGAGGAGGATGACGTGGGCACCGCGGTGTCACCCCCAGGGCCACCCCCGCAGCTGCTGCTGACACCCCCTCATCTGGGCACCAAGGTGTACCAGCTGGCTCGGCAGTACAGCCTCCGCATCAAGAGCCGCCGCGCCGGCACCCGCCGCCCCCCGCTGCCGCCGCAGGAGGACGGGGACCCTCCCCCCAGCACCCCTTCGCTGGCTGTGCCGCAGGACGAGGCGCTGGTGGCGTCCCCGTCCCCGCGTGCCCCCCGCAGCCCCTCAAGCCCCTTGGACGCCGAACCCTTCGCCTGGCCCGACGTTCGGGAGCTCCGTGCCCGTTTCGGGGCCCCACGGCCGCCGCTGGTGAGCCGCAGCCGCTCGGCGCCCGAGGGTCCCGGCCGCGGTGGGCGCCCGGCCGGGAAGGAGCGGGGCAGCGGCCGGAGCCGCAGCGCTGAGGCCAACGGGGGCTCCAGCACCCCGAGCCCGGCACCAGCGCGGTACAGCAGTGATGGGGCGCTGTGGGTGGCGGCCGAAGCCCCTCTGGGCCAGGGGCAGCGGGTGCTGGTGCTGGAGCGGCTGCCGCCGGAGCCCCCGGCCTACGTGCAGATCCGCTCGCCCACCACGCGGGAGAAGATCTGCCTGAAGGCGGTGGTGGAGCGCTGCAAAGCCTACCAGGCGTCCGAGGAGTACCGGCGGCGCTGCCCCGAGACCCCCGGCAGCCCCGAGCCGCTGCGCCACGGCCTCGTCAGGGACCTGCGGCAGAAGTTTCAGACCCTCGACGCTGCCAGCTAGGGGGGAACGGGTGTCCTGGGGACTCCAAGGGAAGGAGCACCCCGTGGACCCCCAACCTTCCTGGGAGAAGGGGCACCACATGGACCTCAAGTCTAGTTGGAGGAAGGGTCACCTCATGCATCCTCAACCTGCCTGGGATTAGGGGAACCAAATGGACCTCCAACTTATCTGGAAGAAGGGGCACCCCATGGGCCCCCTGCTGTTTGGAAGAAGGAACCCTTTGGAAACTTCCAATCTGCCCAGGAAAAGGGGCACCCCCGTGGACCCTCAGCCCTCTTGGAAGAAGGAGCACCCCATGGACACACAGCTTGTCCAGGAGAAGGGTCACCCCATGGACCCCGATGTACCTGGAAGGGGACCCCATGGCTCTCCAGCCTACAGGAAAAGGGGTACCCCATGGACTCCCCCAACCCACCTGGCAGAAGGAGTACCCTGGAGACTCTCATCTTGCTCTGGACAAGGGACACCCCGGTTCTCTCTGCCCACAGGACCTGGGGAACCCCAAGAACCTCCCACTACAAGTACCTGCGGCCTCCCATGCTCCGCAGGCACCCAGCACTGCACCCCACTTGCTTTCACATCTTTATTAGAAAAAAACCCCAAACTGAACCCAAAGTTCCTTTGTGGTCGCCCGCCCCCCCCAGGGTGTCTCGGCCCAGCTGCGGGGTGCAGGGGGCCCCCCCACCCCGGCTGGGGGGCGCACAGGATGGGGGTGCCAGAGAGGGGCCCCCATGGGCTGACGCTCTTTGGTTGGTGCCCGCAGGGGCCAGGGGGTCCCCCCTCTGCACCCACGCGCTGTGGGGGGGGGGTATGGCTTTGGGGGGCACCCACACGCCCCCCGTGCGGGTGCTGGGGGGTCCATGCACACCTGTGGGGCGCACACCTGTGCCGTGCGTGCGGAGGGGGGCCGGGGGTGCACCTGCATGCGGGGACACACGTGTGCAGACGTGTGCGTGCAGGGACACGTATGGGCACGGGGGGCACACGCCTGGGGGGCGCCTGCGGCCGCCTCCGCGGAGGGGTGTGCCTGAAGCGTGTAAATGTATGTATATATATAAATACAAATATATATATATACACTGTGCACACGGACACGTGTGCTCGTGGCGGGGGGGCTCGGGGGCTCCTGCCCATGCGTGACCCCCGCATGCCCCTCTAGACCTGGTGGCACCTGTGCAGGTACCGCACACGCATCTCCTTATGCACGCGTGGCCCCGCTGGCGTGACATGGGGTGTCATCCCCCCACCCCCCCCCGCCATCCAGGGGGGTTATTTCTTTTTTGGGAAGAAGCTGAAGCGTTTCTCCTTGTCCTTGCGGGGCAGGGGGGCTTCAGGGGGGGCGGGGGGTATGGGCAGGGGGAGGCTCTGCACCTTCCCGCGGCTGCCCCGACACTCCGTGATGGCCGCGCTCAGCCCCTGCAGCCAGGCCTGCAGCTCCTCCTGCGGGCACGGGGAGGGGTCAGGGGGGCTTCCCTGGCCCCCCAACAGAGTCCCAGCCAACGCCAGGGCCCTCCAGCTAATGCCAGTTGCTCCAAGTTTTCCACAGGCACCCATGTCCCCTTGGGCACTGGCAGCCCCTCACTGTGTCCTCATGGCACCCCTGGCCATCCCCAGCCCCTCTGAGCATTGCTGGCCACTGCTGACTATGACCCCTGGCCATCACTGTGTACCCCGGTCACTGCTGGCCACCACCACGTCCCCTGGACAACTACAGCCACCCCATATACCCCTGGGCACCACTGGTGTCCCCCTGGGAACAACCAGCCACCCTGTGTCCCTCTGGACCTCCCTGATCACCCCTGTCCCCTTGGGCACTGCTGACCACCACATCCCCCAGCCACCCCGTGTCCCCCCAGGCCACCCCTCACCTCATCCTTGCCATGGAAAAGCCACTCGCTGCCATTGCTGAGCCTAGGGACAGAGCACAGACACCAGTGCCACGCATGCCCACTGTGCCACCCCGCAAGGCGCCGCACCCTCACCTGAGCTTGAACACGTGTTTCTTCTTCTTGTAGCCCGCGGGCACCTCGCAGCGGGCATCCCACAGCCCCAGGGGCTCCTCGCCCTGGCACGGCAGCCCCAGCGCGCGGCTCTTGGCGTCCTTGAAGAAGGCGAGCTGGCCGCCCCGCAGGACGCAGTACCGCGTGCTCCACGACCTGCGCCAGCACTGTGTCACCCTGGGGACACCGCCCCGCCGGGGACACCGCGCTCGCTGCCACCGCTGCCGTGCCTACCGGTTGGATGCGCGCTTGGTGGCCGCCTCCAAGTCGTGCTTGCGGCCGAGGTAGCCCTCCAGTTGGACGCTGCTGACACGGGCGGGCAGCGTGGCCGGCTCCTCCGGCTCCTCCCGCGGTGGCCGTGGGGTCGGTGACACCGGCTCCTCGTCACCTGTCCTCGGTGCCAGCTGTTGCGAGGCAACAGCGTGGTTATGCCGCAGTGTCGCCCACCCACTGCCACTGACGGACCCGCGGCAAGGTGTTGTCCCCTCCCATGGTGGCACCGGGCACGCGGGTTGCTGTCACCAGTGGGTCATGGACCTCAGTCTGGTGTCCTGGGGGTGGGTCACCCCCAGGTCTCCATACCAGTGACATCACCAGCTCCAGAATGTGGGAACTGGTGTCTGCTGGGAGCACCCGAGTGAGTGGCTGGGTGCCAATGACCCCAGCAGTTCCAACAGGGAACTGGTGACTGTGGGGAGGATGGCTCAGCATCCCCATCCGAGATGTGATCCCCCACTGAGTGTCTGGGATCCTGCAGTGAGCCCAGCCCTGGGACCCTCTGAGCAGTGCCAGTGACCCCACCAGATCCAGTGTGTGGGAACTGATGGCTATTGGGAAGACCCCAGTGAGATCTGGGACATGGTCCAGCCCTGGGTCTCAGTGTGGTGTCAGTGTGTGTGCGTGTCCATGCGTCCAGCTCCAGCATGCAGGAATTGGTGGCTACTGGGAGGATCCCAGTGAGTGGCTGGGACATGGTCCAGCCCTAGGACCCCCAGATCTCAGTGCCAGTGACCCCACCAGCTCCATTTGTGGGAACTGGTGGGTACTGGGAAGACTCCAGCAATCAGCTGGGACCCTCGGCACAGTGCCAGTGAAGGCACCAGCTCCAGTACTCAAAAACTGGTGGCTACTGGGAGGATCCAAGTGAGAGGCTGGGACATGGGCCAGCCCTGGCAGCCCCCAGTCTTGGTGCCAGTGTCTCCTCAGATTTGGGGTGATGAGGTTGAACCAAGCTAGATGAGCAGTCCTGGGAGACACCTCAGTGTTGTCACCAGCCCAGGGGACATGGGGACAGTGGGAGGTCTGGTTGGGGACTGTGGCATCAGTGCCATCATCTCAAGGCATCAGTGGTGCCTGACGAAGGGGATGCCCATTCAGCTAGGTGCCACAGGAGGGGCTTGGCCAGGGCCCCTGTCCCCAAGGAGCCAGGAGATGCCCATGTCCCCAGGCAGGCAGTGATCTTGTCCCCAGATGTGTAGTCAGGGGTCTTGTCCCCAAGTAGGTGAATGTGATCTTGCTCCCAGGGCAGCAGGAGATGTCCTAGGTAGAGGGGGCTCCTGTCCCCAAGCAGGGCAACGTGTCTGTGTTCCTGAACAAGCAAAGACCACCCTGTCCCAAAGGAGCCAGAAGATTCCCATGTGCCCCAGAAGGGAGAGCATGACGCTGTCCCCAAGGAGATGCCCATGTCCCCGAGCCAGCAGCAATGTTCTTGTCCCCAAGTAGGTTCTCAAGGATCCTGTCCCCAGGCAGGGGAAAGTGATCTGGTCCCCAGGGATCCAGAAGATGGCCATGTTCCCGAGCAGGCTGGCAGTAAGCAGAGAGCACTCCTGTCCCCAAGCAGTTGAAAGTGGCCATGTCCCCAAGCAGGCAGAGAGCATCCTGTTCCTGAGTAGCCAGAAGATGTACACGTCCCTGTGCTGGCAGAAATGATCTTGCCCCCGGGAGCCAGGAGATGCCCATGTCCCCAAGCAGGCAGAAGAGGCAGAAGGGGTTCCTGTCCCCAAGGAGCCAGAGGATGCCCATGTCCCTGAGTAGGCTGGCAGTAAGCAGAGAGGGCTACTGTCCCCAAGCTGATGAAAATGGCCATGTCCCCAAGCAGGCAGAGGGGTACACTGTCCCTGAGCAGCCAGAAGATCCCCACGTCCCTGATCAGGCACAAAGGAGCTTGTTCCCATGTAGGCACTCAAGGATCCTGTCCCAGGCAGGGGAGAGTAACCTGGTCCCTGAAGAGCCAGGAGATGCCCATGTCCCCAGGCAGGCAGAAGAGGCAGAAAGGGGTTCCTGTCCCCAAGCAGGCAGAGCCACAGAGAGCCATCGTGTCCCTGCACAGGCAGAGCACGTGGGAGGAGCAGAGCTGGCAGCAAGCACAGGGGCTGGCACACGGTGACAATGCCCTGGGGGCGACGATGCCTGCCTCGGAGGGTGACAATGCTGCAGGGTGTGATGATGCCCCACAGGCTGCTGATGCTGTGTAGAGTGACAACGTCCCACAGGGTGACAGTGCCCCATGGGGTGACAATCTCCATATGGTGACTGTGTCTCTCGCGGTGATGATGTTCCACAGGGTGATAATAACCCACAGGGTGAAAATTCCCTGCAGGGTGCAGAAGTCCTGCATGGTTCCAATGATGTCCCACAGGGTGACAATGCTCCGCAGGGTGACGATGCCCTGCAGGCTGCTGATGTCCCGTACAGCAATGATGTCCCTTGGGGTGACACGGTGGCCCCAGGGCAGACACTCCAACTCTGGGCGCTGCACGGATCCCAGACACACGCGTACACCATGGATGCCACCCCCCATGTCACCCCAGGAGCTGGGGCAAAGGGGACCTGCAGTACCCCTCTGCCCACCCGGCCTTTTTGGGGTCATTCAACATTTATTCAACACAAGGCAAGGACAAGGTGAGGGTTGGGAATATGGGGATCTGTCAACACAGTGAGGTCATGGTCACAAGGGGTGCCAGGAGCTGTGGGACATGCAGGGACACATTTTTGCATGCAGGGACAACTTT